TATAAGATTAAGTTATTGGAAAATTGTTTGAGCAAAACTGCATGGAATTTGGCATTGTTTATAATTCGTCAAAGTAATAATACAGAATATTTACAGGATAAGGTTAAAGTTGTCTTAAAATTTTCATAAATTTTAAGGCAATTGAGCAATAAAACATGATGACGTCATTACAAAATATGTGATATCTGTTAATAAACTAATTTCAAATAATCAGAACAGTTTACAAATCAGCATTTATACATATATGGATTCAAATGTGATACACAATAAAGTGAAAGTAACTTTCATAACTTTATTATATTCGAAAATTCGATTAATTATATGCTGGCAGCCATGTTGAAAATGACGTCACCAGAAAATGGCGTTAAAATAAAAAAGTCATTTGGCTCATCGACTAGAAGTGTAGCAAATAGTGTGAACTTTGTTTGCACCAAAATTCATGCTTGTATCACAAAGTGAACGATTTGGCTAAATTTTGCCATTAGCTGCTCCACTAAGAACGGAATTGAGGAGTTATGTTGCGAAAAAAGAGTTATGTTACGTTGAAGAGTTATGGAGTTCAAAATATGAACTAAGTTTAATATACGAAAGTTATTATAGAGTTACGTTTGCGTTGTATATATTATTCTTTTGTAAATAGCCTTTTTGAGTTGAGAAAATTATTGGAGTCAAGTTTGGAATTGGGTTGTATTCAGTTATGTGTTATCTGCTAGGATTCCACGAACCAGGGTGAAGAAACACAAGTTTAAATATTAAAAACAACCCAGATTCAATTTCACAACAAATGGTACACAAACTGATCAATAATCATAAGAACAGGCAGGTAAGCAAAAAATGTGTGAATTTCTGGAAATGATGCAAATCTTGTCCACAAAAAAAATATCGATAAAACAATCGATATATTTGGTCGCCGTCAAGGAAGAGATTAGTTTTTTTAATGAAACTAATGAAAACTCTAAAGTTTTTAGCAACGTGTAAGGTTTTTAAAAGTGCTTATTGGTAGACATCATTCTAATGACGTTACATTTAATCATTTTTTGACTAATATCAGAAGCCCATATGTGTTAGAGTGTACTCCGGTAATATTTATGCATTAGTGCTTTTCTGGCCAAAAATTTAACCCCCCCTCTCCCGCTATCTGAACTCATCCTGTAAGCCTATGCCCTCGGGCACATGACTCGATTATGCTTGTATGCTTTTCCATATATTTACAGCTTTATCCACATATTCAAGTGTTACTATCTTATCCCTGTCCCTTACCCCTGTTTTAATAACGCATTTTGGATTTGATTGATTGCATCTTAGGAACTATAATTAGTAACTTATATCATTAATGACAACTTGTTAAATGAACACTACCCTACTTCGGCAACCCCCTGCATATGACTTCTGGTAAATATTTCAGATGTAAGGAGTGAAAAATTTTATTATAACTTTCCATTTCAAGTTTTCCCTATGACAAAACCTTTCCTCTAACATTCATCAGCAAATTAGACTTTTATTTATGGACATCAAGATGTTGTTGGAAGGGGGTGTGGCTGAATCAGGATTGAAGATGACCTCTTTTACCACCGTTCCTTAGTGTTACGATAAAAAATTAACACAAGATTCGTGTATAAGCGCGACATTTTTGCAAATAAGCCCCAAAACAATCTTCCTAAAAATATAAATATTCTCTAAACCAGAGTGCCCTTATCAACGCCACGGAAAAAAATATTTTAAAAACCTCAAAACCCGTGTACAAACAAAAATTATAGCTTAAAACCTTCTAAATGCATACGGTAAGCTGACAAAATATAAGTTACCTTCCTAAATTAAATAGATTTTCTAAAAATTTTGGTTTCGTCTGCCAGCTTCGGAATTTCCCATACTTTTTGCTCTTTTACCGCATGAGTGATTTTGACTCACTCGATAACTATGGGGTGCCAAATGGGCCAAAATTTTAAGACGGGATAGAATCTTATGAAGACAGAAAAGGTATCTGAAATTGTTGTATACAGCGTACTCTCGTAACCAATTTTTGAAAATTTTTCAGCGCCTCCACTACCAACTGCCCCTCCTTCAAATTTGCTCTGGATCCACCCCTGTCTGTAACGACGATTTAACGTATGATTTACTGCAAGCTGAAATGCACATAGCAAAAGTAGTACATGTTCTCTAATTTAGTTACAGACAGCAACTCTTTCAACTTGTGACAAGCAGATGGTTCTAATACTGACAAACACAAGTTCGAGTTGTTTTATGAATACTAAAATCCCAATTCATCAGCATTTTAAACTTTCAAAGAAAATGTTGTTTAGATCAAGATAGGAAAGCAACATTTCATAAAGGGTGATCCTTAAAAATTTTCCAGTAGCCAGTAAGATGTATGTGCAGCCCTATGTTTTTGTGTGCATTAGATAAGCCTCTGAAAAAATCTCGTGTGTGCATATGCCACACTCTGCAGACTGGTCTGGCACCAAGTTCTTCACCGTTTCCACATGGTTCATAGCTATATAAATGCCACAGAGGATCACGATGAACTCTTCGACTTTAGCTTGCAGTAAATCATACGTTAAATCGTCGTTACAGAAACGAAACCTTTTCAGGTCTTCAAACAAAAACGCACCAGATTGCATCGCACCCACGATCTCTGGCAACACCAACGCCATCTTTGGGTTTCGTTTGTGTAAAGGCCTCGTTTGCATGTTGCAGGCTAACAATTTGCGGACCATTCTGTGAACATGCCGATTGGAACAAAATTCAGTTTGAAAATCTCATCAGTATTGTTGTGCAAATATTCTGGTAAAGATACTAGGAATGTCATAAAGAAATGGATATATGCTACCTCGTGAAGAATTTTTGTTGTAAAGAGAGATATATCCAACTCTTGATGATATTTTAAAGTCTTCAAAAGACTCTATCCCGTCTTGAAATTTTGGCCCATTTGGCACCCCATACGATAACAATAGAGTTAGACATCTAGCGATTCGTCGCTTATATATCATTGCTCTCAGCATAGGGGAAAAATGTACTTGCCATGCGCGCGATGAATCACAGGGGTTACAGCAAATGTCAACCCTGCTCCCGCAACATTTCAGGACGAATACACCACATTGTTTTGAATGATTAAAGATTCGTCGATAGATCGACATATTCAAAACAAAGGCAGCACAAAACTTGCATGATTGTTCTAGCAACAAATGTAACTAGTTCTATTGCCATAACATAGATGACACTTTAAAAAATAGGCATTAAGTGTGTCTCGATTAAAATTTCCATTAAAACTGATGCAAATTTCAATCTGGAAATGCATTTGCATACAAGTACATATTTTCACACACCACAGAAGAATAAAATAAAATACATAATTTAGATGCAACAAGCAGAAAAGGGCGAAAAGACACCAACCTTTAGAAAGTTGAGGACATTTTGCAACCAGAGTTTGAAGAATCCAGGAAAATTTACACGTTTTCCCCATTAATGATAGGAAATGATACATCCAAAAGCTGTTTTGTTAGGCAATGAAAATCAGTTGAAAATTGTCAAGCACTAGAGTGGTACAATCCTTGAACAAAAATTGTCAGAGAAGAGGTTCCGAAAAAGACATCTCCCTTGACCGAAGATAAATAAAAATGCGACTTGTGCTAAACACGTGCACTACACAACATGTCTTCAGAAACCATTCCAACAACCACTGAAAAAAATCTTCAAAATTTTACACTTGGCTTTAAATTGACTTTCCCAAAAGAGGAAGCCACTCAATGCAATGCTATTATAAAGTTAAAAATTAGTGATTGAGAAATAAAAGCCCACAGTTTTAGATGCAAACCATTAAATCAGTCTAAAAATTTAGATTAGCCAAGTAACTTTGTAATCGATAAGAAATGATTTTAAAGAAATTGTCGCGAGAAAAACTGTAACCTACAGAAAAATCTAGCTTTTGCTACAAAACGAAACTATTGCCAAAGTAAATGCCAAGCAACAAGGTTTTCCCTGGTTATTATCATTTCTTTTGATTGTATTGCCTTTTTCGTGGAAAAATGAAGGAAGTTGCCGTTACTTTTGGTCGTAAATGTGAATTCGTGATCGATAAGGAATATGAAAAGGCTAAATTGTCGCGAGAAAAACTGTAACCTACAGAAAAATCTAGATTTTGCTACAAAACGAAACTATTGCCAAAGTAATTGCCAAACAACAAGGTTTTTGCTGGTTATTATCGTTTCTTTTGAATGTATTGCCTATTCATAGAAAAAGGAGGGAAGTTGCCGTTACTTTTGTTCATAAATGTGACTTCGTGTTCGTTCATGTTCAAAATTAATGGCAACTTTCCTCCTTTCTACATGAAAAGGCAATACAATCAAAAGAAATTATAATAACCAGCAAAAACCTTGATGCTTGGCAATTACTTTGGCAATAGTTTCTTTTTGTAGCAAAATCTAGATTTTTCTGTAGGTAACCCTTTTTCTCGCGACAATTTAACTCTTTAATATTCCTTATCGATCAGGAAGTCACATTCATAATAATCAAAAGTAGCGGTCAGTTTCTTCCATTTTACATGAAAAGGCAATACATTCACAACAAATGATAAGAACCAGCAAAAACCTTGATGTTTGGCAATTACTTTGTCAATAGTTTCGTTTTGTAGCAAAATCTAGATTTTTCTGTAAGTTACCCTTTTTATCGCGACAATGTTTCATCTCAATATTGTAATTTTATATAAATGTAGATATTTCGACATTTACCTGCAATTTTGTTTGTTGTTTTGAAATAATGATTAAAAGTTCTTTCTTGATATACCTTGATTAAGCATTTCTGTTTTATAAGTTTCTTCCAGTAGTATGTCTACTAGATTTCCGAAAACAATTAACTTTTATACTTTGACTTTGAAGTTTTTACTGCATATATTGAAGCCATGTGGAGTATTTGCGCCCGCGATTCCGTGCCGCCATGACCAGCGTCATGCATTTTTCCCCTATGCTATTGCTCTCGTCTTCAAAGAATCAAAACGAGACCGTATTAAAAAGAGGCCCAGTCAAGCAAGGAAAGATGGCGGACAGTCAACGTGAACAACGTGAATCGCAAGCAACGGTGAACACCGTATTGACAAATGTTGAAAAGGAACAATCAAGTTATAAATCAATCGATGTGTTTAAAGAAGTAGAACCGATAATTGATACAGGAAATCTACTTTTATCGGATCAGCAGCCAGTTTCTGCCATTCAGTTAAAGTAAGGTTTTTATAATAATTAGACCACGGCTGTTACGCCTATTGTTCTCGGGGAAATGAGGACAGCCAATATTTTGCCATTTAACAGACCGCAACACGCAACTTTTGAAAATTGAATGATTTTCAAAATTAAGTATAAAATCGTAGATTTATTGCAGAAAATTGCAAATAACTTTAAAACAAAGACCATCCTCTGTTTATTTTATTTCGTTTATTTGTTGCTTGCTAAATTTTATCAGGTTTTAGGGGAAGATTTTAAAGAATCACCACTTTCGTAAATTTCCGACACGATCGCGATTTTAGGCCAAAGTGCTCCTCAATGTTTTCTCGGGCGCTTCCAAACGATAGACGATAAATACTTCATTTCTTTTGCATGAATAAGATTAAAAACGAGGCTAAAAACCTGGTGGGGTGCCCTGGTCAGCACTTGGTGGAAACCAGTTAGAAATCAACTTTCTGTGCGCCCGCGTGAAATTTGAATGTCAACGGTTTTTCTGTCTGAGAGGGCACCCCAAAAATTTTATTCTCCTACGAATGAAGAGTCATCTTAGTATGTTTTTCTAGCAAAATAAGCCTGTCTGTGGAAGCGCGAGCTGATTTTCGACGACCCGGTCGGCCTAAAACTTAATGTTTTCCTATCGATTCTCAAAGCTGCGAGGCCGCCTCGCAGTGTATATCTCTTCGGCTTCTCCGTCAGGAGCGATGAAAATATCAACTTGAAGGTAAAAAAATTAAAAAAAAAATAATTAAGTGCTATTTTCATTTATTTTCTACCTCTTCAGAGACTTCAGTACAAAAATATTTCCAATTAGCCTTGTTTGGTTGGCTTTGGCAGTGGTACCGTAGACAAATTCTGTTAAAGAATTTCGCGGGAAGCCCATTCAGGGAAACCAAATTTTTTTGTAAAAAACCCTAAAAGGCAATTAGAATTCTATTTCAACTTTCTAGTAAAGAATTTAATGCTAAGTTCAAAACAAAAAACAGCTTCTCTATAGCTTTTTCAAATTTTGAGATATCTTCGATTTTCTCCGATGCGGTCAGAAAACGGGCCTATGCTGTCCTGACTTCCGCGGCGTAACAGCTGTGAGACATGTACATGTATATTTTATGTATATAATTAGACATGTAAACCAAAAGTTAGTGGGTTTGATAATGTTCATGTAAATATGTATGTACTGCATCTACACCAGAAGTGTGAAATCTAGCCACTTTACTCAACAATTGAAATTTCAGATGGCATTTGTGGCCAAGCCAGGTTTCCACTGTGCGATTATCGCGATAAAGACGACAAATTCAATTGACTTTTCGTTTTTATCGTCGCAATCATCCAGTGGAAACAGTAACTATCGCGCTACGATTATCACGATTAGGGCGACAAACGCGAAAATCGCGATTAAATCCACTACACGAATGAAACGATTAGCGCGAAAAAAATGTGCATGTTCAATCAACATGGTGCCCCTTACAAGAAAGCAGCTCATTGCGAGAAAACGTCTGCCTATATTCTGCCACTTTTCTCTAGGCATTACCAATGACACTATTACATTTGCAGTCTATTTTTCTTGTGTCGTAAAAGCCTGAGTATGGTCTAACTGCTTCTGCTAGCTGTTCGTCTCGTATAATACTATCGGGATCCATTTTGGCAAGCTATGCTACTTGGTTTATAAGTTTTAATAAGAAGAATGTTTCAAATAATTTATTGCAAGAAAATGATTCACCCCTTGAAACTTCCCAGTCATGCCAAGACTCTGTCCTTGACTTGAACTTTGTCATGGTAACCAATGTTTCTAAATCAAACCCAGTGACGTTGATTTTGACGATAAGCATGATTGACATGGTAGAATATCAAATATTTTTGATATTCTGTCACATTAATCATGGCACGATTAGCGCTATTGATTTACAAGATTTCATGTTTCCACTGGCCGATTATCACAATTATTATGATAAAAGCGAAAAGTCAGTTGAAGTTGTTGCTTTTATGGTGATAATCACCCAGTGGAAACCTGGCTTTGAAGGTGAGTCTCCATAGTCAACTCACCCATAGTCAACTTATTCTTTAGATCAAACCAAAGAGGATACCTGGAAGATTTGGCACGTGACAATGCACAGCTACTTTTTAATGAAATTTGGAAGGTATGTTCAAGAAATAATCTAATTATTGACCTTTTAATCATTGGCACCTCTGAGCACCATGTTGATACTAAAAAATTTGCTTACTCATCCATTTTAATACAATTTTGGCGGGACAAAAAAATTTAAAAACTCCTTTGAAAACAGCAGCATTTTGAAGCATATTACTAAATCTTTTTATCTGACACTGTTCAGAATATAGAACAGTCAGTGGTGGCTGGCACCCAAATAAATGTTGTATTAGAATGTAATGACAAGTAAAACAATACAGAAAAACAAATCACACTTTTTGAGTACACTTTTTGAAAGCAAATCACACTTTGCTCATCTATCTGAGGATACAAAAAATCAAAATAATCGGACTATATCCACTAAATCACCACTGCGTATTAATTACATTGTTTCTGTGCAAAGAGCTATCTCCACATTTTTTTGCTCAACCTGTAAAAACGCGAGAATTTTTTGTATTTTTTTGCAACATCTTAAATCCTGCAGGTGAGATGGTTCCTTTCATTTTACTAAAAATGTGGTTGTGCCTCTCCACTTCTCTTTTTCAAGTTTCATCCAGATCGCACGCAAAATGGATTCCTTAATGCACCATCCTTACGCTAATGGCCTGTTGGCTAGTTACTTGTTGGTAGGGTTGCACTGGTGCCATGATAAACTGACGTAAAATGGCCTATCAGCCTCTGTTTGTTCGTAAACCCTGTTGTATAAGAAAGCTCATCTTAATACATTGAAAGAAGCAGTTGCTTTCATTGTTCATACATGATCCATTTTGGCCATTTGCATTAAATCAACCACTGCACATTAAAAGTCAAAACAAGGAGGAGGATTAGTGTAAACTTAAGAGGAACAGCTTTGTTTTTATAAATATCATTTGAAAACAAAAATTTATGTTGATGCAATAAAATGCATCATTTCTGAAATCAAAGATGACTTTAGAAGAGCGCAGCCACTTGCTTTTTTCATGACCATGGATGAAAAGGTTTCATAGGCAGATTCAGAAGTTCTTTATTTCAGAGTGAATTTTGGACAACGTCTTAAAACCAAATAGAGAACAGATTCAGCAACTTGCTTCTTGTTGAAATGCAGTACCACTTTCTCAGAGCTGTAGTTTGAGTGTATTCAAAAACAAGATTTAATACATTCGCTGTGCAGGCAGATGCTTGTGGAAAGGTAGCACAAAAGACAAGACATCACACAAAGCTCTCCAACACAAAGAGATTTTGAGTATTTGTTTTAAAAAATGAGATCTAATATATACATTGGGGCTGTTTGGCAGTTTCACAGGGTCCGTACATGCATTAATCACTACCAGTTGACAGTCGTACTGTATTCGAATGCTACATAATTTTTCTTTTGTTAGCGCCTCATTTAATAATAATGCATTCAGACAAGAAAATTGAATTTCTCAATTTCAACAAACTAACAATGTTACTTCATGTGCAATTCAAAAATTCTATGTATTATTTCATTTGCAAGCGGCCACGGAGAGCAGTAGAATATAGAGGAAAAAACTTAAAGCTAGGAAATTTAGATACCCAGTATGTAAACTATAAAAAAATGTAAAAAGATTCTTTTATACAGATAGGAGTTTATTTCATTGGTAATGCATTGGACTCCTTTGGTTTTTTAATGGGCAAATGACTGACTCTGCACTTTTTACAGTCATGTGCTTACCTTTCTGAGTGGCCTATTTTGATCCCAACTGATATATTTCCTAGCTTAGGGTTTTTGTTCAATGTTCTGAAGTTTATTTTCTAAAGAGTGTCGGATGAGAAAGTTTTAATGTGTTTCAAAATGTTTGCTTTTTTCAAAAGTCATTTTATCTATTTTACAATGCTTTTTGATGAATTGAAAAACTTTTCACCATCAAAAATTTATTCTGCTATGAAACTTATGTCATGATATAAGCGTACGCTAGAGACGTAATCACGCTAGAGTTTATGTAATATGAGAATCAGTTTAAGCTATAAGCTTATATTGCTAGAGGCACTAGCTTTGCTATTCAAAGATCTCACTATTCCATGCCATGTAAACTTTTGATATTTCCATACATGTTAAATTTTTGATTAATAAATCTTTGGTATCAAAAAAGCAATCATGTTTAATAAATGAATGTTTAATTGATCGTAATCATAATATTATGAGTTATCTGCCAGCTTCCAGTGGAGAGATATGAAGATGCTATTGTGGCAAAGGTATGCGTATAATTTTTTTTCTGTATTTATCTCATTTTGGTGACCAAGAATGGTACAAACTCAAGATAGAGTAATTTTTATGTAGCTTGATGGTTGTTAGGGACTGTTTGTTTTCAGTTACATTATGAGGGATAATTCTGACATGAAATGAGCTACCTTCCCAATTATTGCTGTTTATTGAAGTAGAAAGGTTGGGTTTCCTTGAAACATTAAATCTTTTTTCATGATGCAGTTTCAATAAACCTTAATCATGAATCAAATAGACCAGCAAAAAATGCACAGCTGGGATTTTTGTTTAGCAGATTAGCAGCTTCTATTCTTAAGGCCCTGTTTGCAGGAACTAGATTCATCGCATATCAGATTCACTGACCCAATCCAATTTTTGTTTATGTACAATATTGGATTTATAAGTAATATTGCCTAAATTGTTATGTATGCTCTGTGTTGAATGGAACCGTCCTTCATCTGCACTTTATTTCCAAAATGGGGTTTCAACAGTGACAATAAAAAAATTTTGTGCTCACATTAGCTTTTAAAAGAAATCTGATAATTTCACACACACAAGCTGTGTAGAAAGTATCAAATGGTTTGGGACATGGCATCCTGCAAAATGTTTAATAATTGTTTGAGAATTTGAACTAAAAAGCATGTTTTGAATTAAAAACCTGCTTATTAATCAACTGATCTCATAACTATTGAAAACACTAACTGGCAATCATTTTGCATGTATTTTTTTGCAGGCAAGATCAAACTAGGTATTGTTGTTAACCTAATTAGTGGTCTCTTCAATACTTCAAGATTATGAAATATACTTCAATGTTCACTTTAATGTTTGGTTCTCAAGAATGATAGTGAATTTTTGTTTGATTTTAAAACTTGATTAAATGTGGGTATTTTTGTATTTTAGATACCAAAGCCAATAACAGTCTTACCTAGGGAGAAACCTGTGAGTTATGTATTCTCTGTTAGAGTCTCAAAAATTTTTATCAATAATGGGTATCTGCATTGCAAAGTGACTGAGGTATTGAAATGAATTTATTCTTAAATTATCATGAGTTTCAGCACATATCATGAATAGTTGGTGTTTCAGAATGTAACTTGTCTTCATCTTTTTAAGATGTGACAGGCTTTATTCTGATGTGATAAGAACTCAAGGTTACACCAATCAAAATTGAAAATTTTTTTATGTGTTGAAAAAATGCCTAATTTTCTTTTTAAAGGATGGTAGTGAAACCAGAAAATCAGGTCTCTTGAAAAAGTCATAGGGCCTAGGGGCTCTAAGTGAGGGTTCATGGGAACTGCATTTGATTTCAACTGTGTTTGATTATATGTGTTGTTATAGCCGGACCTTCAATTCCACTTTTCTTTTCAGATGCATCGTTTATTGCTTCACTTTCCCCTTCTGATAGACCCTGAATCCCCTTTTTCTTGACCAGCGCAGGATTGTCCCAGATGGTTAGTTTTCTTGCCCCTTTAATCAGCTGCTCTTTTTGCTATTGTTTTAAACTTGATATATCAAGTTTAAGATATATAATATCAAGTTTAAGATACAGTAATCCTATATAATATCAATAAAATGTCTCTTAGTTTGTCACTTTTGCTTTATTGTAGATACCAAAGGCTAAACCACCAACAAAATGGGAAATATTTGCAAAGAAAAAGGTAAAAAAAATTTGTGAAAATTTTCAGCAGGAATTTTCTCTAGCAGCAGATTACTGGAACGATAAACTATCAAGCATTATTGTCAAAATTTTGATATCACATTCTGTGCTGGCAGTGAAATGTTTGCTCAAAAACAGAATTTGTTGCAGAATATGTTGTTAATCTTGGTAGGTTAACTAACAAATCTCGCAGAAATTTATAAACTGATCTTCATAGGAAATTCGCATACAATCATAATAAATCTTATCCTAATTGTGAGCAATGAATTGCTTTTTAAAACTTGGCATTGGTTTCAATGGCACACAGAGAAAGGAAACCCTGGAGTAGTGTGTCCCACTTTAATTTATAGCGGGAGAATATGATCGAAATGATTTGTGAAAGGCAAAAGCCGACGGAATGTTCCTCAAGACCTGCATTTCAACTATATTTGTTTGAATGTTTTTTGTCACTTAAATGTAACAAAGATTGGAATTTGCGATTTGCAACCCAACTTTGTTTGTAGATGACACCCAGAATCGATGTTTTTTAAAGGAATTTGTTGAATTCAGTTTAATGAGCCACAAGAGTTTTATGTTGCAAAAATTATAATCAAAGTAGCCAGAACCATTTTTTTTGGCTTTTTAGGGAATTCAGAACAAAAAACGAGAGCGAATGGTGTGGGATGAGGTCGCCAAGGTATGTGTGTCATTGTACAGCAGTACCGCAGACGTGTATTTAGTTCTGTCTCTTAAACTGTCAAATTATTTAATTATTTGATATTGAATATTAAATATACCCTAAAAGGTGTTCATTTTGAAGGATTCTTTGTTTGTAAAACTAAGCAAGCCTCAGCAGACACAGGTTCCATATTTTATCGGATCAAGTCTTTTCAACCTCATTATTTACGGCGTTTCTATTTCTCAGATAAGATCTCAACTATTCTGTTTTTTTTTCACTTTAAAGCGGTATGCGTTTGTCGATTTAACCTTTTGTTTCTTTGTGATAGTATTTGATTTTGTCTATTGCAGGAATGGAAGCCTCGCTTTGGTCACAAACGCGTCAACGATGTGTCGGATAAATGGCTAGTCGAAATTCCAGACCAAGCGGGTAACGCCATTCTCGCAGTTACATTAGCCAGTTTTAGGGCAATTTCAAATTCTTTATTTTTGTCTACCTGGTCAGATTTCGCTTGCTGAAGCCGACTTTCAAATAATCACGAACAACCTTTTCGTTGCAGACCCATACGAAGACCAATTCGAAAAACTGACTAAAGAGAAAAAGGAAAAAGTGGCCAAAAATGAACTACAAAGACTACGTAACATTGCTAGAAATAAAAAAGGTGCCTTTGTCTTCCAATTTTTCATATATTTCTCTAGCTGTTTAACTTTCGTGTTAAGCTGTGAAATGTACAGAATTATATGTGTAGGTGATTCTTCCGATTTTTTAGCAATTCTTGGTAACATTGAGGTAAATTATTGCGGAGGCTAAGCGGTACGGTGAAATGCAATTAGCTACGGTGAAATTAACTCTTGGTGCCTAATTAGAAGGCAATTGCTTATGCAGTCAGTACCTCCCAAATGATGTGATGGTTGCACCAAAACTAAACTTATCTCAGTTGTTCACAAACAAAAACCCGACTTCCTACAGCTCTTGGGTATAAGCCTTCTGATTTACAGTATGACCCTCTTTGTTAATTCTTTTTCATTCCAAGTAAGACTTTTTCCACTAGCTCCTATGAGCTCGCATCATTTGAATTTTTTCGACTAGAAACCTTGTATAAAATCTATTACCAAATTAATGAACTGATCTTTTGTAATCTATGATTAATCTCCCTGTTTTTCGCGAATATATTTTAGGTGGAAAAATTCTCAGTACGGAACTGAAGCCAACCAGTAGAAAAGATGAAGAGAGAGTATGATATATTTTGTTTTTCTTTCTTTTTGCATTGAACCTGTGATTGGGCCATATTTTCAACCACATTTCAGCACTTGTTTCAAAGCAATGTTTTCGAATTAAAGTTCTGCAAGTTTGCAATTTTAGTAACTATCTAATGTACCAACACCAGAATTATCTGCTGGTTCAGAAATTTAACATCAAAGTGCCAAGAAAACACTAAAGGAACACAACAGTTGTACCCAATCATTCTTCATTGTACTCCGCACACCTCGGTACTGATTATCTATCTCTCTGTCGCCGTTTCTTTCGCCTCTTACCTTACAATCAGACGTTTTATATATATGTGAGGTTTATCATGTGAGGTTCATCATGTGAGGTTTATCATGTGCTGGTTGAAAGTCACCTCCGATACAGGAATGTTGCCTGGAGTAGCCTGCCAAACACGAAGCTACAAGCGCTTCAGCGTCTACAGGATAGGGCATTCTCAATTATTGAAAATGCCAAAAGAAAGGACCCCTGGAACAGTGATTGACTAAGCTAATCAGATTTTTGTAGTGAGGAGGAATTCGTCTTCTCTCTCGAGAGTTACACGAGGGGTTAGAAATTGCTTGTCAGGTCTGATGTTCATATGTTGGTTGTTCTTCCTCTCTATTCAATTTTGATCTGCATTGGGAAGTTAATCTCTATTCACGTTTTTGCTGTTATCTGAAGTTTCGCAATCTGAGGATTCTTCATACTCTAGAGACTTTTTCATTAAATTCTCGAACTTGCTTTGAAATTGTATTTAGGCCGGCTTATAGTATTCAGAAGATTATTAGTATCCTTAATGACAATGCATGATGAAAAATGAATTGTAGTGTCACTTTGACCGAAATGAAGTTTCCATAAGTTTTCTTTTGTGTCTCAGATTTCAAAAGAAATGGATGTAACAAGAACTTCCACGGCCTCCATTGGGAAATTCCAACGTAGATTAGTAAGTATGCCGTTGAACATCGATGCTTCGGGTTGCAGGATCGATTCATTTAAGGGCATGACTACTCATTTGGAATCATAAGGAACACTTTGAAAGTAGATGTGGCCATTGGGTGCGTTTAATCTAATTAATGGTGACTGTTTTAGTGTCCAGTCTATTTTAGGTTGCCCATATTGATGCTGAAATTTATTGGTTTTACTTTGTTTACAAGTACAGTACTTAAATAAAATTATTCCTTCTTTCTATATACATCGAAGAATTATTACAATGCAATCTAATTGAATTCCAGCCCAAAGAAAAAATCAAGGAAGGTAAAGGTGTAAAAAGAAAGGTGATTAATTTGCTTATTTTGAAATCAGTCTACGTTTCAGCAAATATTTTGTTGCATTGATACATCATTCAGGGTATGTGGATATATAGACCATCTCCGAGTTCGGGACGCCATGATGGAATTATATTTTTCTATAGCTAGTTCCAGTCCCTCATGTGGGATAAACCAGCGAAAAATTCATGCTGGATAGAGGCCGCTCTTTGATTTTTTTGGCCGTGAAACTTCTTTAGAATAGAGAAAAATACTTTGAGAATGAAAATATGAATTTTGTTAGATTGACAGTGGACCTTGTTTGAGCTACAGAGGAATTTACAAATCTCGATGATATAGGCCGGCATTGTGTTTATTGTGGTTTTTGCCCAACATGGCGTCGCGATCAATCTTTTAAAGAAAAGACCAAACTCAAAAACATAATGGAGTTTGACACGGGGAAGAAAGAGGTAGTGAAGCAAAGCAGTCAGATAGCAATATATCTATATATTTTTTGTTTATGTTGACATGTTTGGTCTCAACTAGGGATTCAGAAATTGAGTTCTGATTTATGTCACTGCCCATTTCATTAAAATTTACAAATTTCCTTGTAATTGTTTGTTTTCGGCGCAGAATCAAAATTACCTTAAGTTAGGCAGAAAACTTGGAAATGACTGCAAGGGAGTGTTTGATTACATGCTTTTGCCCATGTAGAAACGAAGGCCGGGAAGCATCATTTGCTTCTCTTACAAGCAGCTGTTATTAAAAGCTCTGTTTAGCAATAAAAATTATCAATAGAAAAGTTCTTTTTATGTACGTATAAACCGTTAGCTTTGATATTAATGATACACTAAAGTTATTTTTAATTGTAGCTTATTTTCATTCTCGCGTCAATCAATCGTAATCAATAATTGATATATTCACTTTATTGACAACTTGAATAACAATTATTTGTTTTATACAATGATGGTCAATAATTTTTCCTTGTAGTTCGAAGGGGTTTCTGGCAATACATCTACAGAAAGGCAAAAAGCACTTGATATTTGGAGCAAATTACATAAGCCAGATATAATGGACTCAAACAAGGTGATTACTGTCATTTTTCAATGTGAACCAAAACACTAACGATATTTAACATGAAAATGAATTTTATTCTGCATTCATTGCATCTAAAGCAGAAAACAGAAGAATACCTGGTTGCTTTGTCATTCCTGGAGTTAGAAACCTCAGATCCAAACCCACTCAATAGAAACTTTAGTCTATTATTTTGCAAGCTAGAAAAATGTCACTACACTTACTACTGTTGCTTGTTCATTTTTCAATCTTAACACAATTTTTATTCCTTTTTAAACTTCCTTCGTTGTAACGAGTGTATTGTACCAAGCTGTCACTAACAACTTCGAATGCTCCACCCCTTGTTTACAATTCTTTCAGCCTGATATAACTCCGTTGCAATTTTTGCGCCCGAATTGGTACTCAGTTCGCCAAATCAAGATATGCATTCTCTTTTTATAAAGCTGGAAAATTTGTATTTCTTATAATTTTCATAGCCATGTTTTTGCTTATGATCCAAGATTTAGCTTCATTTTACATGACAGCATAGTTTCTGGTAAGGATTATAACCTATTACTTCGCAGTTCCCACAGAACTTTCGTCCCTCGGCGTCGTAAACCTCTTCGGTCTGCCAACCCTTTGTAAATTTTTTTACTGTTCTTGTACGAAAACCTTTTTACACGCCAAAAAAGCTGCATTCATTGAGCAGCAATTGACGCAATTTCACGAAACCCATTTGCTTTATTTTATCAGGAAAAAAATTGTAAACGCCTCTCTTGACTCAGTTCTTGAATTTTGAAAACTTCCATGTTTTCGTTTCGAGGCCTATAGAAATTTTATGGTCGATGTTTTTTAATTGTTTGGCATATATAAAAGGCTTTAAAATATCAACAATGTCTTGTGAAAATTTCATGGAAATAGCTGCCGTACTTTTTTAATGAGAAAGATTTTAAAATTTTTTTTCAAATTTTGTTGCATAAAATGTCTTCTAAATTTCGAAGTGTGTCCCAATTCTTTTTGACGTAAGTGTTTATGTTATTGAGTATGTGATCTGTAATGCAATAACGCCTGCATTTTTCCGTTGATTAGGCAGCCAACCGAATGATTGCGCAACAGGAAATGGGGTAAGTTTTGCTTACATTTAACTTTTGTATTTTTTATGGTTCTTTGCGCCTCATTTCATAAATTAAAGTGTGAAATGGTCATCGGGATTCATCGCTTATCGATCCGATCTGGATGGGATCCCTTGTTGACAACTGGTATTCATTCAACAACATCTGCTGCGTGCAAATTTACAAAATGCTATCTCATAAATTTCTTAGGATTTGATCAGTTCAGTTTTTTGTGTCAACATTTTCTTAGTTTTCTTAGTCTTTTAAGCGATTTCTCAAGAATTCAAGGACTATTCCAGCTCGCTGCTGTAATTTGCATATTTGAAAATTTACTGTCCCTGAGCTCTTCATCTGTCAAGTTTAAGAGAAAGCTTACACAATCACAAACGATTATTATCATGTGAAATGTGAATTGTGAACTTGGCATAAAAGTAGACGTTCATTGTTGAAACAACCGAACAGGCTACCGGGTTTTTTCAAACATCTACCTACACCTTCAGCTCTAATTATTTCTAATTATTTCTAATTATTTCTATTTTTCTTTTGCATTTCAGGTATTCTGCCTCTAAAACCAAGGGGAAACGAGGCCCAGGCAGTAAAGTGAAGAATCGAGTTTTTAAACGAAGTGGTGCAAAAGCTGGAAATGCAAATAAGAAACGTGGTGGAAAGGGAGCCAAGAAGTGAAATGTAATTCCTGGCAATAGAATGTGTTACTTCCTTTTTTAAAAATTAACGATGTGGAAACGAAGACGAGATTTAACTGTACTTGAAGGGCAAAACTTTTCGATAGAAAGATTGCTCATTTTCTTCGTTTTTGCTCATTCTCTTCGTTTTTGTTCATTTTCTAGTGATTTATCTCACAGAGGTTCGGTCCTCAACCCTTTAAACACTTTGCATTTACATTTTGTGTTCCAAGCATTTACTTTAACCGCCTCCCCCAACTTTTAATCCCCCCCCATCCAACTTTTGACCTGACTTTAGCGGAAAGAGCGATGCTAGATTTACGAGCAATTTGTTCTCCAAAATAGGCATGCGCAGATTAGAGGATAAATGAGAAGATAACAGCTTGTGTGAAATTTTGCTCGAGCGCTGGTTTTTTGCTCGAGCGCCAGTTTTTAACATTTTTCTAGCACAAAACGAAACGCTTTGAACTTGCCTCTTCTAGAGCGGTTCTTCTTCTTAAGGCTTTCCAAAGCCCCAAAAGCATTTCATGTAGTATCTTTGAAATTTATCAGCAAGTTTTTGAATTTTCTAAGCTTTTCAGCAGTGCTATAGATATTTTGCTAAATAAAAAGTGTAGCCTAATACTTTGGCATTTATAAGTAAGCTCATCGTTATTTCAAATTTTATTTTTACTTGCGTCACGCCTGTTATGATAGGGAACAAAAACAAAATGCTAAGATTATCTGCTAGAATAGCTGAAACAGTTCAGTTTCTGGCTGTTTTTTGCTCTAGACCTTTTCAGAATATCAACGTTTGATAGAAAGCACGATTGACAAACGTTTCACCCAGATTTGGACAATGATAAATTAATAAGAAAAGGAGAGAATAACTGTCCTGCTGTGATCCTCCCGCAAAAAGGCCCATAACCATTGGATCTAGCCGTTGCATATTCATAAATAATATTTTTCCTAGGATCTTTCTTGGTGTTTTGTGGTGTTTCAAACGGAAAAGGTTTCCCGTTATTAAAACTTCGCGAAAACCAACGGTGTTTTTTTGGAATAGAGACCTCGGGTTGAATGATGGAATTCTTGCAGAACAGTATATTAATTGGCTGGTGTTGACCAAGTGCATAATTGTTCACTCTCACGGACGTCCATTGATAAATATAAACAAAAGTTTGTAAGCCCAACAGTGTGCCATAAAAGTGACAAAGTAAACCTATGATTCGAGCACCCTAACTATGGAAGAAGCAATGTTTATCCAGCAATCAAGCTTTCTTTCCAACAGTTTTACACAAGCTTTACAGTTAACACCTTCTTCTCATATATGACTAGCCACAATGGCCTAAACCTTTTGGGAAGATCTTTCTTCACACTCTGCTTACAGCCTGCTTCAGCTAATTCTAATACCCACTTGGTATCTTTTTCGTTGTATTTTCTGTTTTCAACTTCAGCCACTCTAATTAGCAGGAACAATCCCGTTGCCTGGTTTACGTTTTAAGCTAAAAGGAGTAACTGTTTACCGGTCTGTCAAAGAAAGCTCACAGTAGCAGACGGGACATGCTGCTTCATGTTACAATTCTGACCGCCTTATGTTGCCACTTAAAACGGCTCTGTTCTCTAAACCAAAGCACAAGTTTCAAGCCATGTACGTTAAGGATTTTATCAGACGTGACAGGCCTGGTAGGGATTTCCTTTCTTAGATCATACCATTTTTGTACATAGCCACGAAACCATCTTATAATTACCGACAATTTCCTGTAATTTCAAAATCTCTCTAATGAAGCAAAACGTAAGGCCATCTTTTCAAGTTTTCCTTTGGTAAGTTTAAGCCGGTTTTGCGTAGTTAGATACTTTTCTGATCAAGGACTAGCTACCTCAAAACACGATGAAAGTATACGTAGATGATCTCATATTTCGCTTTGTACAATTCATATATTTAATTTTTCGATATTTTTGAAAGTATAATGGAGATATATCGTCGATATCCTTAGAGATTTGAAAGAAATGTAACTGCAATATTCAAATGGCTTTTTACTGTTCTAGTTTTTCCTGAAACCTCATTGCAGTTTTAGATTGCTTCTAATCTTAACCGAAAGAAACTGTAGGATAAGCTCGTTGTCAACGGATGTCATGCTAATACAGGCTGTGAATCTTTCAAACGAGCATGCCTTGTACAAAATATCTAAGAGAATAGATAGAATTCTAGTTTTTCCGTGTCAAATTGACACTAAAAGGCTCTTGCTTTATAAATTAAACTGGTTTTCATTTAATCAAACGTTTTATTTATTCTCGAACAGATTTTGTAAAAAATTTCCTCTTCACGCTGTGATAACACCATCAATAAACAATAGCTTGAAGTTCCTCTCTATCCTTTTTGCTACAGTTGGTGAAACAAATTCTTTTTCGGAGATGCTCAAAGTGATAAGAAAGGCTTTTTATGCAGCTTCAGCGTAAGGCTATTCTTTTGTAGAAATATCATCGGTGTTTCTACTGGGCTCTAACTGGGTCATGGATAACAAATTCAGTTTTATTCAATAGGGAACGTCCTTGCAACACTCATATTCTAAAACTTTGATAAAATGTAACATTTACCAGCTCTTAGGCGCCGATACCTGTCAAAGTCAGTTCATTGCCGTTCACTAGACGGCAAACAGAATGGACTATTCAATCGGAATTTTGAAACTACGTATGAAGACAATCGTCCATTGTTCCTCTGGTCGTTAACCGAGTAACCGCCATGTTTGTTGCCATTTAAATTCTTGATTTTCTTTGACAAGGTCCCTCGATTCATTACTGTAAGGTATCAAAAGTGATACATCAGATATGTTTCAAAAACAAATCACAGCTCGCGCCGTTTTTCGAGCGCAGGATTAGTCTGGCACTTGGTGTTGAGATGTTGGCCTAAAAGATTTCTACGTGGTCTAAAGTTGATTTCACTGTTATCTTTTGGTAATTGTTAATTTGAAACTTTTCAATCTTGAAGTAGACCTTAAACTTGAATACTTGCTATTTTGTTGAAAAATTAATGCGGATGTAAGTAAGCTCCTTCATATTTACATCAGGCTCTCTGCCATGTCTTGAGAGAATGAGAAGATAAGTTTTAAAGTGGATGCATTGATAGAAAGTTGGCTAACCGAACTTCTGATAAAGGATAAGAGCTTCAGGTGTGGAAAAAGAAGATAGAAAGAGAAGAAGCAGCAAGTGATGTGGCGTCTAATCTACACACCACACGGTTCGTAAAAAGGTTACGAATCGGGACAAGATATCTTCGATAACTGCAATACTCTGCGTATTGCTTCACAGCATCCAGTTAATTTTTACTTGAGGCAGAAATCAAACATAGGTATCATGTCGCTGTGTACGAAGAATGCCAGTTCTCTTTTGATGCTTTGTAGGTAGTTCCGCTACGCCCACGGGTAGTTCTACTTGAAATTTGAGTTGCTTCTTGGAATGGAAACCGCTATCAAGTTTTCAATATTGATGCGATGATCAGGAGTGGCTTACTCCCCCCCCCCCAAGATTTTAGTTAGCCCCCCTTCGGCAGCCAATCAATTTTTGCTTTCTCAATACCGTGGGCACTTGATGCATGTCAACCCGTTTACATGTTGTTTGAATGACATAAATAATCGACGAGAAAACTGCACTGGCTGTTTTATGGTTTTATCAATGGCTTTTCTTCGTCAATTTTACCATCATAATGGCATTATATCCTGTTGCTTCCGTGAAAGCTGTGACATTGTTTCATGGTGCTCCCTCGCATGACCCACAATACCAAGGTTCAAATTAAGAACAAGTGGGGCCCGAGATGTACTATAAAATGCAATTTTGAGCATAGTCATGAAACCCCCTTAAAAAATTCAATCTCAAAAATAAGGAGCTCTTTTCCATCTCTGTATAAAGATTTTTAAAATGAAAATGAAATGAAATCTAGAGCTGCTTTGTCGGGGAATTTTCAAACCTGTCGGCAAATAAAGGATCGCTCATCCAGCCTAAAAGTTTTGGAAAAGTTAAGAACAACCAGCCTGAATTTAAATTTACTGGTTCTCATAAAGAGAGTGTATTAGTTGCTCTATTCTGATAAGTTGTCGGAGGATATTGGTTGTCTTTTTGCGCGCGCTGACGCCTGAAACATGAGTACCAAATCAACTTCAGGAATGAAGAAGAGCTTTAAAATGGCTTGGCCTAAATTGACATTACCTGTTTTGGTTATCTACTCTAAACTTTAGGGCACTGGGCTCGAAAACTACAATGTTTTATCTCAGTGTGCTAGACAACATGGGGGCCATCATGTTTTTTTATCTTACAAGATCGATATAATTAAAACTACTTAATATTAAAATTGTACTTCTATTTTAAACTTTGTTGTAAATAGTTACACTCTTTTTTTAAAAGAACCAGTAAATTTGAGTTCAGGCTGATTGTTCTTAATTTTTCCGAAAATCTGAGGCTGGATTGTTCTTAATTTGTTCTTAAATTTATAGGGTATAAGCAGTGCGATTTCTAGCTTTTCGTTCTGGGGAGGTGTTCAAGCCTCTTTTGCCAACAAAGTGCGTAGAGACAGCCTTAATTTGCCGCCATGTTTTAATATTCACCGAAAAAGCACCCACACATGGCTGAAAGTCCTTGTTTTTGAGCTTGCTCGAAATTCCCGAAAAAAACTTTTGGCTCATAAAAGGCTGTTTTTTTTTTGCGCTAAACACCACCGCGGGGTCGCGACAATTTTTACGCTATCCGACAGATGTCCGACTTTAGCGGATATGCTTGGCATCTATGCTGCAATACCAAGCACATGCATCACATCAGAACATGCATGTGTGCTAGTTATTCACAGAGTGAACAAGCTAGCAGAAAATCTATAGCGAAAAATCCAAAAGGAAAACAGGGGAAAAGACACGTGCAAAATAGTATTCTCACTATTCCTGTTGGACTACACAGAAATCAAAGGTAACATTACATTATAGCCATCATAAAGTAAAATCATGCTGTCATAAATAAAGTTTTTAATGAATTTTCTTCTTAAGGGATTCTCTTTCCGTTTCAAGACATCATTATTGCCTATGAAAACATTTCGATCATGAGCACATTTTGCGTAATAAATTTTTTAAAAAGCACTTCTTGTCCTTTTTCATCAAGTATTTTTCAATAGTATTGTTCACCGCCTAGCTTGCGACAAATAAATGGTTTAGAGAGAACCATCAATTAACTAACTATTCAAATTAAACTTTCTAAAGTTTATGTTTTTCCTTTTTATATGTGATAGGAAGAAATATAGGAAGAAATATTAGATAGGAAGAAATATTCAACAATAGGCAATATTTGCGCATAAAGTTTCTTACAAGGCACAAATTGCCGAGAAGATCTTGCTATACATGGACTTCGACACAGGTTGGAAAGTGGGGGGAGGGGGTATGAAGAGTCCTTAGTTAATAAACAAATAGATAGGGTACGTAGGCTAGACAGGGAGACTCTTCTGGAAAATGCTGGAAATAGAAAAACCAACGAAGGGAGGGCTGAGAGGGTTCCATCTGGCATTTAATGGATTGGGAACATTGCCAGGATACACCATGCCTTGCTCACTGGTTCAAAAGAGCACAAGGAGGTGTTTCCTGTGCCACCAGTAGTTGCTTTTAGGAGGTGTAAATCTTCAGGATATCTTGGTGAGGGCTAGGCTT